CACTTAAAAACTCAGTCCCCTGGCAGCTATTTTTGTTTATAATTTATTTATAAAATTGGATTCATAAGTCTTAATATTATTCTAATTAATGTAAACATTCATTGAGAACTTGAAAAGTTGAATGCATTTAAATAGTTTGCTTGATTTTTCTCAATTTGATAAAAAAAAAACAGTCCCTTGTCATGTTATATGGCAAAAGATACACAAATATCGAAAAAGCAAAAATTAATTTGGCTGTTTATTTAATATGATTAAGCTGATAGTTTTGTAGCCCTTGTTAATTTTTTTTCTAATAAAATCAAAAATAATTTAGTTGAACAATTTTGAACAGATTTAAAACGTCCTTACAGAGAATCACCCATATACAGACTAGTCGGAAAGTATCCAAATTCGAAAGAAGACCATTTAATATGAAATATATTAATAATTAATTCTAAAAAATGGTCAATTACATATTTCAGTTTTTATTTAACTTAGTAATAATTTCTTTTTAATTAATATTTTATCAAAAATAATAATAATTTCATGAATTAAAATATAAATATTGTAGTACCGATTATATTTAGGTATCTTTTTATTGAGTTTATAATTTTTTACTACACACTTAATCATTTTGTTTATCGAATATAGTTATTCTATCCATATTTTTTTAAATTTATAATATAGACCATTTTAATAATTTTCCGGAATTTTATTGGAACCAAAATCTAGTTTTGTACTACAATGAGTCTTTTAATTCAAGTAATTAATTTTATATTTATACAGTATAGCTAAATTTTTATTATAATGAAACCTTTTTGATTATTTAAAAAATTTTTCTCCGATCATTTTTGTATTTTTTTTTTTCTTTAAAATTTTTTTTCTTATGCCAAAGAAGTATAACTTCTAACGCGTGTACGTAAGTACACATACCATTTTTTTTTATTTTAACTTCAATAGTAAACTCGCTTATTAATTAATTTCAGTTGGCCGAGTCTCGATGTTGAAATGTCCCAGTCGAATAAAAATAACGAAGAGGTTGCGGTGAAGAAAAAACGGAGATTGTACACTCCAGATGATGAGAATATTTTAGACATTGATATAAACACTCTAAGCGATGAATCTTAATATCTTTATTTGATAAGTATTTATTATAAAAATAGTTTATTTTTAACAAAAGTTATTAGCAATTATCAAAAAAGTTTAGTAATTTTAAACTTTGGTCCATACCGTTTCAATAATGTTAAAGTAAAAACTAGTTTATAAAATAAAAATTATATACAATTGATATTTATATTTAAATAACAAAAGTTGTTTTTAAATTTAACTGTGAGCATTAATATAAATTAAAAAAATATAATAGGCTGTTAGTATTTAATTACACATTTAAAACCAGTTTATTTAGTCATCTTGCGATGTAATGAGTTCCAACTGTTAGTATAATCAATTTTCAGGTGCCCGTAATTGCTGAGTCCGATGTTAGACGGTTGAATAACTTCGAAATAGCAATTTTCTTCGGAGCGCGCCGCTGGCTTGGGTTTTATATCTACAGAATCACGTCGGTTTGACGTGCTGTGATAAATATATTCTTCTCTGAAATCAAGAACAACAAAATAAATCAATGAAGAATTCTTCACAACAATAAAATCACTGAATAATGTTCAGCGACAAAGAAGTTAAGAGTTATTAATATTCAAGATCATTAATCAAACCAATTGACTTGCCTTCCATGTATACTAGTACGTGAAAGTTTTCTGCGTCTCAACACCTCCTTCAGCCGTCGATCCTCGAATTGTTTTGCTTGCTCGAGGTCTGTAACACCAGTGAGTTATTTAATAGTCTTGTATAAACTTTTAATTTACATAAATAATCCAATTTTACTTTCTTATTCAGAAAATTTCTTATAAATTATCATTTCTTCTTTTTACACATAAAGAAAAATTTTCTCGATTGGAGAACAAAATTTTTGGCTCAAGATACGTATTTCTTCAAACAAGAGAATTAATTTTGTTGGAAAAAGTGAAATTTCTTGTCAAAAAAAATTTTTTTTTCGCTCAAGAAAATAATTAGAAAGAAAAATATTTTCTTGGTCCAAGTGAACCTTTTTTTCTGTATAGTTATATTCTTGTTCTTTATTTTACAGATTTATGACTCCAATAAAATTATTGTTGTGAAGAAATAAAAATTTAAATAAATAAATAAATATCAGTAGTATGCGAGGAATGCTAGTAAATTATAAATTCAATTAGGATGCCAAGTAAACGTATGTCTCTACGCATCAAAAGATTTAACTTTCTCTATTTGGCAAATATTTTTTTACTACTGAAAAAATATCGCAATTTAGTGTCTAAAAGTATGTAGTTCCTTATAAATGCCCCGAAGAAAAACTATCTACAGTCTAAAGATAAAAGTAAATAAGTTATGTTGCGTGTGAAGAATGTTGACGGTAGTCGCCTCCGGCGAGACTCAAATTCTTTACAAATGCTTTTGTATTTACACCGTATCATTATCTAGATCAGTGAATTAAGGCTAAAATTAATGAATTTTAGCAACAAAGAATTAATAATTATTAATTATTATAAATGACCCAAGTTTTATTATTATACTTATATTATATTATGTCGTTTTAGGCTATGCTGTCATGTAATTATAGATTTTCCGGAAGTTGCCATTTTTAACCTACGGCGTGATGCGTCTATATAAGTTCTCAAGAAAACCTGGAGTACTTTCAAGCATAATAATTTTTGCGCAATGTGTATTGCTTGAATAAAAAATCAAACGTTATTGATTTAGCTCGACGTAATAAGATTAAAAAAATATTTATGAGATAATACTAGGTCAATGCAATCCTTAGTAATAAGTTGGTTGACTTTTCTGCATCGCACTCACGCCTTATAAGATGGCGGTTGCAAAAATTTTTCTATTGCCTTAAGGTATTTTTTGAACGTAATAAATCTAATAATTGCTTAATTATATAATACATTTTTTATTAGCTTCGCCTGGGTATCCATGTATCTATCTGTGTGTGTAAAGGGATCTTTGGACTCGATTTTCGGCGACTTAAAAATGTTGGATTAAATAAAAATGTTGCACACTTATCAAGGGCCGGTGACAATAGAATTATTTAATAAGTTTGTCCTATTATCCTGACTAGGATCGACAGGATTTCCGGTTTTTTATATCCGGAGACACGGTAATGTTTGCGCCAAGTACTAACGAGTGTACTAAGGCATTCATAGGTTAATCTTGGAAACAACCATATGACTAATGGTAGGATCAACCAGGGAAGATTCTTAAATTTTACTATTTTAAAACAATTATAGTTTCAAAAAGTAAATTACACGCTTTGATGGTCAATCGAACTAAAAATTGCTAAATAAATAATTGTTTTAAAAAGTTAAAAAGGTTTTATAAAAAAGTAAATTTAAAAGTAGAAAATAATTTTCAGTAAGTTTAAAATAGAAGTGATTGACAAAAAAATGGATTTTTTTGTAAAAAATCGTAGGGAGCTTGATGTCAATTGTTGTAAATATTTCATTGACAGATATTGGTTTAATATCATTAATTAATGTTATTCTCATTGATTAATATTATCAATATTTATTAATCTTGATATTATTAATTGATATTAATCTCAATCATATTTATTAATGTTAATATTAACAATATTAATCAATTAATTTATTTCATTTTAAAAATATTAATCATTAATATTGATTTTATGCATTAATATTGTAATCCATCAATTTGATTATTATCAATTAATGTTAATATCATTGAATAATATTCAAATTTTTAATTTATATCAATTTTATTAATTTAAAAATTTTTTTAGCAGTATTGATAAATGACAGTATTATTAATCATATTGCTAATATCGTCAATTAATATTACTCTCATTGTTTTATCTTATCAATATCAATTAATCTTGATATTATTAATTGAAATTAATCCAATTCATTAATTTCAATCATAATCATTAATATTAATAGTAACGATATTAATTAATCCTTATATTATGAATTGATATTAATCTGATTTATTAATATTAACCATATTCATTAATATCAAAAATATTAATCATTAATGTTGATATTATAAATTAATATTATAATTCATTAATTTAATTATGATTAATAAATGTTAATAATATTTGAGAAATATTCAAATTTTTAATTTATATTAATTTTATTAATTAATATTAATTTAAAAATTTTATGAGCAATATTGATAAATATCAACATTATTAATCATTGTTAATATCATCAATTAATGTTACTTTCATTATTTTATATTTACAATATCAATAAATTCTGATCTTATTCATTAATGTCAGATATATTTTTAATATTAATATTATTAAAAAATGATGTTGATATCATTAATTAATATTAATCAATCGAACTAAGAAGTACTAAATTAATAATTGTTTTAAAAAGTTAAAAAGGTTTTATAAAAAATCAAACTTAAAAGTAGAAAAAAATTTTCAGTGAGTTTAAAATAAATTTTTTCGTAAAAAAAAGCGTGGGGTGCTTGATGTCATTTTTTGTAAATATTTTATTGATAGATATTGATTAAAGTTGAGTAGTTTTTAAAATATCTTAAAAAGCACTCCATGCTTTTTTACAATAAAATCAATTTTTTAATAATCACTCTCTTATTTTTAAACTCATAAAAAATTATTTTTATTTCTGAGTTTGATTTTTAAAACTTTAGTTTATTTTAGAATCACTTGGGGTTAAAGAAGAAATAACTAATTTTATTGTTAATTATATAATTAAAAAAGACAAATAAAAATGAAGGTCGTGGAACGTTAGAAGAAAGTCTTGGTGATAGAAATCAGACCTTGCTAAAAAGCCCATCCTGTCACTGGTAAGGTGTAGACTACTATACTATACGTTTATTATTATTATTTTATTTTATATTTATTTCAGCTCGGCTGCTTCTGCTAACAAGTCCTCCACCCACATAAATACGTAATTTCCACGTACTGAAACTTTGTAATTACGGGTAAGCTTTTGAACAACTGAATAACTTTACCTATTTCTTCCCGATTATTAATTCGTGCCAATAAATATATAAATTTCACTTTTAATAAAAACATTTTTTATTACAGGTGAATAATTTATTTCCGCTGTAAAACTGATAATTAAAAATTAACCACTTGTCATTCACAAATAATAACAGATGATTAATTAAATAAATTACACTTTCATCTTAATAAGAAAGTGGTTACTAAGTTGTGTTGAATAATTGAAGAAGAACAAGTCGCAAATCGATTTATATTTAAGAAAAGTGAAATTGAGAATCACGCGGTCATTAGTGACATTTATTTTTTTTAACCTTTCTCTTCTTGAGATCAATAAATTTCTCTTATTTTATATTTTATTTACTTAATTAATAATACTAGCAACCTTGCAGTCACTATGTGACCGCCGTGACTTGTGAACTATAAATAAATAAAATTTTGCTTTATTAAATAATAAATTTTGTTAAATTGGACTGTACTTTTTAAACTATTGACGTTTTTAGAGATATAAGCTCATCCCGATATAACACTCATCAAGAGCTTTCATTTGAGTACCCACATGCATTTTTGATATATTTTTCATATATACATATATATATATATATATGATATATATAAATATATGAATAATGATGTGGGTACTCAAATGAAAGGTCTCGATGAGTGTAACATCGGAATGAGCTTGTATCTTTAAAAATGTCAATAGTTTTCAAGATACAAGGTCATTTCTTAATTATTGACATTTTTAAAGATATAAGCTGATCCCGATGTTACACTCATCGAGGCCTTTCATTTGAATACCCACATGGCATTTTTTATATATATTGTATATTTGATATTTGTGAAATATATATAATATATAAAATATATGAAAATTTAATGTGGGTACTCAAATAAAAGGTCTCGGTGAGTGTAACATCAAGATGAGTTTATATCTTTAAAAATGTCAATATTTCACAAGATACAAGGTCATTTATTAATTATTGATATTTTTAAAGATATAAGCTCATTCCGATGTTACACTCCTCGAGAGCTTTCGTTTGAGTACCCACATACATTTTTGATATATTTTTCATATATACATATATATAATATATATAAATATATGAAAAATTGATGTGGGTACTCAAATGAAAGGTCTTGATGAGTGTAACATCGGGATGAGCTTATATCTTAAAAAATGTCAATAGATAAAAAAATACAAGGTCATTTCTTAATTATGTATCTAGAGATATTTTCAAATCCAGCCTAAATACTGATCATAATAAATTGACTATTGGTCATATAAACATTGACACTGGCCACAAAATTTTACTTATTCTCTTAATAATATAGATTATTTTGCATATTATTATTATTAATTTTTCATAAGAAGTTTTATTGTTACAACACAATTTATTGGTAAGAAACTTTTTTTTTTTATTTATCAATAAAATCTATAACTTTTATGAAAGTATAAATTGAAACCTTCCGGGCATGGGAATTTACACATGTAATGCACTTGTTAATATTTATCATGAATTTTTATTAATGTCTTTATGGACAATTCTATTTTAATTCCAATTCCTGTGAAAGTGAACGGTCCATAAGGTCTTATAATAGCCTGAGATATTAATTCATTGTTTTTTTATGCAGGATAAATAACATTCTATGCAATTTTATTATTTTCAGATTAATATTTTTTTTTTTTCAAGACTAGGAACAAAAATTTGCTCTAAAAAAATACCTCAAGCATTCAATAAGAAGAAAAACAATACCATAAATTACAATGTTAATGATAATAAGGAGATTAAAAGATTGATTGATGAAGAAAGCATGGTAAGTTATCACGCACATTTCTTCATCTGTTATTCATAAAACATAAAAATATTATTGCTTATTTTTATTACAGATCGAAAGTTGTTCTATGGAATATTAATTACTCCACCACTCTGGTTGGTCAAATAGACAACATTTCTTCCTTGAAAATCTAATCTGAATCGCGTGAGATTAGTCTGCTGTCAAGAAGAAATAAGTAGTAAGTGTAAGATAAGTTGTAAGTACAAAAGATAGCGTATTTTATTATTCATGTTTTAGCGATCGAAAGAAATACATAATCAACGGAAGCATTCACTTCCTTTTACACTTGATGCCGGGTCATTGGAACCAATCCAAGTATTTTAATTTTATCTTCAACTTAGATGGATAAATATCGTGTGGAGAAAACTCGACCGTGAAAAAGCAACAAGTAACTTTCTTCAAGACCCTTTTAGAGGGTGTACATTTAATTGGAGATTTTTTGCATGATCCAGCGGTAATTCTCAATGAAAGCGAGACACTTTAAGGTGAAGTGCAAATACAGCCAACAATTGTGGGAATTTTTGCCGTTTTTTTTTTTTTCGAGAAGACAATGTAGTACTGGAATTATAATGCATACTTTATTTTTAAAATATTTTTTTATATTATTTTTAGGTAGATTTCTTTAGAAATCGGGTTTTTGCAGAGCACTCATTTGAATAAAATTTTACCGTATGTTTTATTTTGTTATGCCGAAAAATAGCATCAATTTAAGGTATATTTTTTTTTCTTCTTTTAAAATTTATTCTATTTCGTTCACTACTTTTAAGGAAGTTCAAGTGATTTTTTATAAAATTTATTGAGATAAAAATAATTTTAAAGTATATAAATAATCTTATAATGATTTACAATTTTATTTATTTACCTGAAATATTTTTTAGGCATCTATTTTAAAAAATTTATCATGAAATAATGTTGTTAATTTGACTGTTTAAGGTAATTGTTTTTAATACGGTGAAAAATTAATTAAAATAGTATGTATTTTGATGCATTTATATGAGCTATGTGGATTAGAGAATTTTTTCAAGAATTATTTATTATGGTATCTACTTCAATAATTTAAATATCATAATTTTAAATACAAAAAAAGGTAAATATTTATGAGTGGGGATACATTTTTTTTTAATACATAAATCAATGAATAATTAAAAAAAAAAAAAATTTGATTATCACAATTTTAACAAATTTTCAAAAAAATCTATGAATTTTGTAGAAAGTTGTGATATTCAACTTTTTTTTTTTTTTTTAATTTTGTTTTTTTATATACTCTTAAAAAAAAATATCAGAAAAAGATAAAATAGAAATTTTATCCAAAAACATGAGAATCAAAATTTTTTTTCAACTTTTGAGATTAAAAAAGCTATTGAAATCTTTATTTTTTTCTTTCAAGATATTTTTTTATCATAAATCCACTATAAAAACAAGCAGAATAAAAAAAATTTTGAAAATATTAATTTTTCACCTAATTATAGCCCAAAATGTTAAAAATTAAATTTTTAATTGCTAACATTTTAAAATAATCTTCAATTTTTTAGTGAAGATCAATTTATGATTAGACTTATCAAAAATAAAAATTTATATCTACTATTAAATCTTACGCATGAACTTCCTTAACAATTAACAAATAGTTTATTAACAGTTAATTTCTTCTATTAGTTTGTTAAATAAATTTGGAAATTTAAAATAAATAATAAAATAAATTGAATAAATTAGTTCAAAAATTTCCGCTAGGTGGCTACAGTTCTCGTAGTTAGAATTCTAAAATTTTGGTATTTAAATTCAATAAAAAATTTTCAGAGGTTCAGGGTTCGAATCCCAGACAAAGTAATTTTTTTTTTTATATATTTATAAATAAAAGAACTTTTCAATATTATTAACTTTTAAATAACGATTTATTAACAATTAATAAATATTTATTAATAGAAAATTTTTTAGATAAATTTAAAAGTAATAAATTGTTAATAGCAAAAATAAATAAATTTTAAGAAAAAATAATATAAAAAATTTTTTATTTTAGAAATGGAAATCAAGGATGGACATTATAAAAACTTAATAGATATATGATTTATGATTATTTGTGAAAGCATATTACTCTTAATATGATATTATTAAACTGAGTTGATACGGTTGGTGTAACCTTCAAAACCGGCAGTTTACTTTTAAATGAAACTCGCCCAAGCAAATGATGATAATACAAAACTCACGTGATTACATCGTCCAACAGAACAGGTGGACTTTGCAACTTTCTATCGAGTCTCCAGGTATATATTGTTGTTGTTATATGTTTACTCCAATCGGAGGTGTTCCAGTCAGGGTAATAAAATAAGTAAATAGATTAAAAAAAATGTGAAATTATTACCTTTGACAAATTAGAGCTAGTTTGCAGAGAGATTATCTTAATCGATAAGCTTTTTATTTGTTAAAAATAAAACTTTGTTTAAAAAAAAAAAATTTTATGAATGAATAGGTCAAAAATTGAATCCTACTTTTTATTCTTTATTTAAAAAAAAAATTATTGTTATCTTGACCTCAGGATATAATTTATGATGTAATATTTCCCAGGACTTGTAAACAAACAGGATTGCTATTCATAAAATTAAAAAAACGGTATTGTCTTTTTAATTCAAATTACAATCCAATTGAAGTAATCAAGAGCGCGAGAGACTTGCGTGATCACATTTTTATTCATACGTTTTATTTTTTCCATTAACTCGTTAAGAAATCCTACTATGATCGGTTCCCATATGATCCGTATCATACATCATACTATTATCATTATTAATGCTGTTGCTACCTATTATTATATTATCCTACATACTGTTCTGTCGCGGGTAAATACTCTGTAGCAGTAAAAAAATTTTTCTCAGGCTGGATCCATTTGCAATATAAATGATATTTATGAAAATTCATAGCGGGAATTTAAGCGCTTTTTTATTTAATCATTTTAATATTTTGCAACTAGATCAATTAAAATCACTTTACATAAATAGCTTTCTTTTTAATTTATAGTTTAATTATTTAAAGAAGAATATAATAGAGTCATTATTAATATTATTCATTATTCATAAATTGTTAGAATTTTTGTTATTTTATATCTTTGCAATTATTGAAAAAATTTTTATTGCAATTTTTAATTTATTAGCAATAATTTTCAATATTATTTTTTTTACCCAGTTTAAATTATTTAGAATAATTTTTTTTTTAATTGTCAATTGTGAATTTTTGATATATTTATCATTGTTAATTTTAGACAATTTAAATTATTTAAAAATTTTTTTAATTTATAAAATATTATTTGTAATTTTTTTCATTCATAATTCTTTAATTATTTTATTATTTTGCAGGCGACCCACGACTAGGTTTATCATGTAGGCGACGGTCAAGGTGCAAGCGGCCTACTAAGTAGTACTATGTTGTTACTCACTCAGTAATAAAATCAAAGATTCACTATTGAGACTTATATATCTATATATAATGTATGATAATAATAAATTTACTCGTGGGAATTAATTTATGGAGAAGAATAGAGACTGAGGAGCCAATAAACTTACCGGTGAGCGGTGCGTACACTGGAGCTGCATAACGTGCATCATCTTCATAAATCGGTTGGTAATGGGAATTACTCAACTGCTTTGTTTGACCAAAATATATATCTTCAACCAATCCTGGAGGATGATATCCTGGTTCACGTGACGATTCTCTTGTATACCTATTAAATTTATTTTTCTCAATTGAATTTTTAAATTCTCAATTTTATTAAAAAATTTAGTAATAATTTTTTTTTTGAAAAATTTATTTTTTTTTTATTTAATTATCAAATTTTCTAGAAAATTAATAATATTTTCTAATTATTAATTTTAAGATAAAAATTAAATATTTCTTAATTTTTTAAAAAAGTAAATTTTTTTGAATAGAAAAAAAATTATAATTTTATTAAAAATATATTAAACTATATAATTTTTTTCTAGAATCTAATTTTTCAATAAATTTTTTTTAATTTGTTATTTAAAAAAATATACCTAAAATAAAAAATTAATTTTTATCAATTAAATTTTAGAATTCTTACATTCATTTAAAATAAAAAATTAATTTTCATCAATTGAATTTAAAAAATCTTACATTCCATTAAAAATGTTTTAAGTATGCTTTTTAAAAAAATAAAAATTAATTTTTATTAATTAAATTTTTAAAATATTGCATTATGTTAAAAATTTTTCAACTCTTTATTTAAAAAAATACTCAAAATTCAAAAGTATCTTTCATCAATTAAATTACTAACATTTAAACTAACATTTCATTAATTTTTTATTTAAAAAAAAAAACTTTTAAAATAAAAAATTAATTTTTATCAATTAAGTTTAAAAAATCTTAAATTTCACTAAAAATTTTTTTATTGATTTGTTAGGTTTAAAAAATAAAAATTAATTTTTATTAATTAAATTTTCACAATCTTACATTATGTTAAAAATTTTTCATTAAATTTTTATTAAAAAAATACTCAAAATTCAAAACTATTTTTTATCAATTAAATTACAAAAATTTAAACTTTAATTTGATTAATTTTTTATTAAAAAAAAATGTAAAATTAAAAATTCAAAACTTATATTTTTTAAAAAAAGTTTTTTTTTTTTAATTTTTCATCAATTTTTTATTAAAAAAAAAAATTTTTTTAATTTTTTATAAAAAAAAATTTTTTTGTACCAAAAATTATTAAAAATTTATAATAAAAATAATAATTCACCAATATTCATGTTCAGGTTCCCGGCGCTGTGACACGCGACTATAAGAAGTCTGAGGAACTTGATATTTATGTGTCGGAGCAGTGACACTGTGTCTTCTCAAATAAGCATAATTTTCAAGATCCCAAGGATCGACGTACTGCCTTGCATTACTAGCGTCTCCAGAACTCGATGATCTTTGAGAATCAATAGAGTTCCAGTAAATAGACGACGCAGCTGGCATTATTATCAAAAAATCTGCAATAGAACTAAATAAAAAAAAAAAAAAAATTCAAAGTCACTAAATTAATTCATTTTTAACAAAATGAAAACACTGAAACTTCAAGACTTGCAACTTGTAACACAGACACTGGTTGTACTCTGACTGACAATCTCTTCACCCCAACAGGTGAAACCATAAGTTTCACACTCTTCCCCACTCTTCATCACATGTGACGTATGTATTAATTAATTTTTTAAAACTTGCGAATTAAAAAACTCGCTTAGTAATATTAAAAAAAAAAAAAATAATTTTACATCAGAGGTGTCATTAAAAATAATTAACTCTAAATTAAACATTTATTTTACACGTTTAATTTTTATAACATTAATCACGCATAACATTTGTTTTAAAACTAATAATTAAACATTGAAAATTTTTTTTTTTTAATTACGCGAAATATTTTTGGTGAAGAATTGGCGATTTAAAAAAATATTCACTCTTAATCTCAATATAAAAGCAATAATACGTTATAAAAAAATACGTTCCTTTATTATATTATTTAAATAATAATAATAATAATAATAATGATAATGATAATTGATAATAATAGGAGTAGTAATAATAATTGTTCTACTTTATATCAGTACTTAGAATTCTAAATGAACGATAAATATCCAATAAATAATACAATGAATAATAATAATTGTTCGTTGAAGTAAAACGGCTTTTAAATTACTACCGTAAATAAATAAATTTACTTTAAAATAAATCACGGAAATGAATTTTAAATCAAGAGAGCAATTGTCAATTTAGATCACGTAATTTATCATTAACATTAATAAATACTTAAATATTTACATGCTAATACGTATTTTATTGATGCTAATTAATAATCAATTAATTGATCAATAACCTTTTTGGTTGATTTACCAATAAATTTAAGAAGAATGTCATAATTAAGAGCTACAGAACAGTAAAATCTAGAGCCTTTAGTAGCATATATCACAGAATATTATTTAAATAATATCAACATATAATTATATCCATAACTTCTAATTTAAAACGTTTGATTACTGTATTTTGTTCGTTTCGTTGATGATCTATCTCACTCGGTCTAATAATAAAGAAGCAGCTAGTTCCACGTCATACTCTGTTTGTTTCAAGGCACCTTCGCACTGTTGCTTGCTCGCCAAACCTAATCTAAAAATCAAGAAACAAAGCATCAATTAGGTCCTTAAAGTAATTAATCAACTCGAATTAATAATTACAAAGTATTTCTATTGTACTGAACATTGAAGAATTATACTTAGAATTTTTGCAATCGAGTGAAAAAATGTTAGTTTTTGATGTTTTAAGAGCTCCACCACCAAAGGACAGCTCAAAAAAAAATTTTCAAGAGGTCACTCCAAATTTTTTAAAATTTCAAAAATCGTTAAAAATCGAATTTTTTTTTTTTTTAATTGTTTTTCTCGTTACGGTATAATTTTATAGACAAAAAAAAATAAGTTTCTGAAAATTTCAGTTCAAAATTCGAATTTTGAAGGGTCGCTCATAATTTTTTTCAATTTATTAGTGCATTAGTTTAGATTTTTTCGAGCGACCTTTTACTATTCAAATTAAAATTCCACGCATTTTTTTTTTATTTAGTACAATAATCGATAAGAATACATCACGAGATGAACTAAAAATCAAGCACAACATAGAAAATATAATTTTTTTTCAATTTAATAATTTTATTTAATCAACTGCCAGGCGCGAGTTCGAATCCCAAGCTGGTCTTAGAAACCAGCTTGGTTGAGATTTGACCTTGCCGCGTTTGTTAAGATTTTTTCAAACCAAAAAGACCCCAACATACCACTCCCAACACTTAAAGTCGGCGAAATGACTAATTAACGAAAAATAAAAAAAACTATGAGCGACCTTTCAAAATTCGAATTTTGAACTGAAATTTCCAGAAACTTATTTTTTTTAGTCTATAAAATTATACCGTAACGAGAAAAAAAATTAAAAAAAAAAAAATTTGATTTTTGACGATTTTTGAAATTTTGAAAAATTTGGAGTGACCTCTTAAAAATTTTTTTTTTTAACTGTCCTTTGGTGAGGGCTCTTAAAACATCAAAAACTAACATTTTTTCACTCGAGACTAAAAAAAAAAAAATAGTCGGTTTTTTTGCGCCACCCTAATAAATATATTTGAGTCTATACTCTGAAAATTTCAAATTGATACGGAAAATATTTTTGAAGATAAATGCAAATTCGTAAGGACGTCTCCGAGCTCCAAGCTCAAGCTCCAAGGTCAAAAGTAGACGGAGCGTAAAAAACTCCTTTTTTTTTTTTCAAAATGGTCTTTTCAAAAGCTGTGAACACAATTTCTCTAAAATGGCTTGATTGATCGGTTTCAAATTTTTACACAACCTTCTTAGACATATTCCCCAGGTATTAATCTAAGGAATAAAATTTCTGACGATTATTTTGATTTTTTAGACCAGTTGAAGTTGGAAATTTTTTTATAAAATTGCAACTATTTTTTTGGGAACCCGCCAATTGGTCAAAAATAAAAATTTTGGGTCATTATTTACAAGTGAGATCAACCCATGTTAAAATTTTTTTTAATCAAATTGATCAATTTTGTTTTAATTAGGTACTTCTTGTCTTTTTTCAAAAAAAAAAAAAAAAATAGATCAAAAACATAAAATAGAAATTTTATCAAAAAAATGAGCCAAAATTTTTTCAAATTTTTAAAGGCCAAAAGGCTATCGAAATCTTTATTTTTCATTTTCACGACATTTTTATCATAAATGCGCCGTAAAAACAAGCATAATAAAAAAAAATAAATAAAAAATGTTAATTTTTCACCTAGTTATTACCCAAAATAAGGTTGACCTTACTTGTGATTAATTACTAAATTTTGACTATTTCTTCGATTAATACCTGCATTAATTTATCGACTAAATAAATTTTTTGAAATTTTCAATTTGATAAAATCCAAACCAGAGATATCTTAGTAACCGCCTGACACTTTTTTGTGTAGGACCTCCAGGAGATCGTCTACAAGATCAGTACAACATAATAATTTTAAAAACGGACAACGGAGTTTTAAAATATAAAAAATTCATTACATGTCCATCTTTTTTATACACTTGTTGAATAAAATATTTCTTCAGAAAAAATTAATAAAAAACGTGTTTTTTTGAGTTCGCAACTAGATATAAACCTTTAAATTGATATGAAAAATATTTTATAATAAATAAATTATGACAAAAAAAATTGAAATGTGAAAATTGAAAAAAATAAAAAATTCAATTTTTTGAAAATAATTTTTTAGAACAAATTTTTTTGTTAAAAAAAATCAAAAAATTTCATAGTGACGGCTAACTTTAATGTCATAAATTAACTCCTAATGATATTTATGTCAATTTGCCCGAAATTAAAAAAATTTTTATACATTTGTTAAATAAAACATCTCTTTAGAAGAAATTCGTAAAAAATGCGTTATTTTGGATTCGCATCTAGATATAACCCTTTAAATTAATATGAAAAATATTTCAGTATATATTCAATAATTTTAAGAATTTTATAACAAATAAATTATGACAAAAAAAATTAGAAAAAAAAATTGACGTGTGAAAATTTAAAAAAATAAAAGGCCATTCGGCATCCGAAATGGAAGTAGATTTCATAACAATAAAAAAAACTACTAGGATATACAAAAAAAAAATCTGTCATTACACAGATTTCCGCATCACCCATGAGGTACCGTGTAGTTTAATGCGTTCCCCTTTCATTCTCTGGATAACAGAATTAATGTCTATAAATTATTAAAGACAATCAAATTGAATTTTGTAACAAATAATAATTAATTAGGTATGAAATTGAAAATAATGAATTTTAAAACTCTATAAAGCATTACATTCCATTGAAAATAAAGAAATATATAGAATATAATATTACATCGTTAACTACAACGTTGAAAATTAATTTCTCTAATTTAATTCATTCTCTGGATAACAGAATTAATGTCTATAAATTATTAGAGACAATCAAATTATATTTTGTAACAAATAATAATTAATTAGGTATGAAATTGAAAATAATGAATTTTAAACCTCTATAATGTTTAAAGTGACATTTTTGCTCCCTTCCCTCCTCTCTACGTGGTAAAGGCCTACTGGGGACCCGCCACGTTAAAGAAAGGGCACGCATCTTACTACACAGTACCTCATGGGTGATGTGGAAACCTGTGTAATGACAAAATTACTGACTAACTGATGTTCTTATAGATGAAATAATAATAGATAATATTTAGCGCGTTATATCCCATATATATATATATAAACTTTTTTTGCTCGACGGGCAGAAAACGTCAACTTTCGGCCCGCTGCGCTAAACGAAAGTGCCGCTTTCTGCCTTCGTCGAGCAAAAAAATAGTATACACTCCACGGGAAGTAAATAAGAAAGCCTCAGATCACATGTTTGTCAACCTCGGCTTCGCCTCGGCCGACAATTACATGTGATCTGAGACATTTCTTACTTTACTTCCCTAGGTGTGTAATATACTATTAAACCATGTGGATATTCTGAATCAGTTTGAAGAACTGATTTCTATAGAATCGACTAATAACCAGTGCAACAGCAAATTTCATAATTGGCATAGCGGAATAGGACATAATTTTGAGAATACATATATGATTTGGTACTGAAATTGAAGCTTATTTCAAGAGCTTTCAGATGCATTTTACAGAATTTCAATAAGTTATCCCATTCAATAAGTTATTCGAGTAAGAAAGTGAGAAAATATGAATTTTTATGATTTTCAAAATTTTGAAATCCTCGTATTTCTAAAATACTTGACCGATTAAGCTCATCTTCGAACTTGACTTTGGTATTTATCGGTAGAATAAGTATGTTGAGTTTGGTAGAGATCCGTGGTAAATTCGCGACGCTATCGTCCTGACAAGCCGCGTTATATCCCATATATATATATATATATATATAAACTTTTGAACCATATGCATTTTCTGAATTCACTTGACGAGCTGAGTCGAAATATAGCAAAATTTTTCAAAAGTTCCGTCATGAGGACCAATGCAATAGTTAGATTTCTATGAAATCTACTAAAAAATGCAATTTTTTTTTGCATTATTTTTTAGAACAAATTTGTTTGTTACAAAAAATTTTTAAATTGTATAGTGACTACTATTTTTAATTTCATAAATTAACTCCTCATTATACTTATGTCAATTTATCCGAAATTAGAAAAATTTTTTATACATTTGTTAAATAAAATATCTCTTTCGAAGAAATTTATAAAAAAAAACGCATTTTTTTTGAGCTAGCAACAAAATAAAACCGTTGAAATTAATTTACCTTGACAGCGATTCAATCTTCGCCTGCCGATCTTTAAGAATCTGTTTAGAAGCCTGATTGGTATCCCACCCAGTAGCTTGCAGTGCAGCCAAAATTTCTTTCTGGGAAGCATCTCCCGTATCTTTTTGTACTTTCATGACCTTGCTCGCGCGAAATTCATCATTGAGCGACATAACCAGCTGCTGTGAGGCGCCGGTCAACGGCGGACTGACTCCTGAAGGATACGCTGACGTGGAAGGTGCCAGCTGAGTATTAACAACAGTCTCATTCATCATCGGAAGCAAGCTTCTCGCTGGTCCAGCAGCCCCTGGAGATCTCGAAGGAGTGAATTGTATCAAGTTAGCCTGAGCATTATTTTTAAACCCATTGGGAGTCTTGGGGCTCCACGCGGGAGGAGGATTGTAAACCGGAGGCTGTTTTAAACTCGGACTAAAATCAAACGGATGATCTACCTGCGTGCCGTAATTACGAGGTAATGTTTGGCTCTGATTAATTATATTACCATTACTGTTACCAACATTTCCATTAATACTAGCGTTTAAATTTATAGCTTGCTGCTGCTGTTGGTTTCTCAGAATATTCTGCTGGACAGTCTTATTATAAAGAGTATTAAATTCACTCTGGGACAACTGGTCTAAATTTGGCACTGTTTCCCTTAATTCAGCGTAAACTTTTTCGGAAAGAAGCGCTCCAGCAGGAACATTTGATGGTCTAGGAGGCGCTGCTCTGGTTGGCTGCAAATCATTTTGCACGTGCGTCAATGTCGGTAATGTGAAGTTTTGCTGGAAGTTACTCGAGTAATTTGGCCTGCTAGCAATCTGCAGCAAATTAGAAGACTGACCACGATCAACTTGTGGAATATTTTGATTATTAGCTGAATAATTTTGCTGCTGCCACATCTGACCAATAATAGCATCTGTAGAACTTTCCGGGACATTATTACTCCCAGACGCTGAATAATTTTGACTTACAGGTCTCACATTGACATTCTTACTCGGCCAAGAGTTCTGGACCTTGGTTGGCAAAGCCATTGGTGAACTTGCGCCTTGAGGAGATCGCTTAGACTGTGGAGGTGGTCTAAGTCTCACCTGGAGTTCATTAGAGTTCTTACAAACTTCTTTAGCGCCTAAATGCTTCTCCAACTCCGCCAGGAACGCCGGGTCTAATTTCTTGGTCGTATCAGTCTCGATAGTCAACTCGCTCATGGTCTGAGCAATGTCGTGGTTAGATTTTGGCTTCGAAGGGCTTTCATTAGGCCCGACAGGCGGCACTGGGGGTTGTTGACTTGTCGTAGGACGAACATTAGCATACTGCTGGTCTGGCAAATCTTCCGGCCAAGTGGTCTGTAATTTATTGACCTCGCTGTAAATTTCTCTGGTATGTTCAGTGTCAGGTAAATTGACATTTAAATTAGTATTCTCGCTTCTGATATCTTTGTTCAGATTTATTGAATACTGAGTTATCTCGCTTGAGTATTGAGACTTGTCTTCTTGGACGTTCATGTAAGACTGTCCTGAGTCTGGGACGTGGCTGTAGTATCTTGAGGGGTTCACGAACACCCTTGAAGTGTCAAAAGGATCTTGAGAAGAATTACCTGAAATTTAAATTACTATGTTAATTAATTATAATTATAATTTATATAAGATAAAAGACCCAATTATTGACAATTGCAATTTTATTTAATTAAAAAAAAAAAATTACTAAAATAATAAATTAGCAACCTTGCAGTTATTATGTGACTGCCGTGACTTGTGAACTATAAATAAATAAAATTTTGCTTTATTAAATAATAAATTTTGTTAAATTGCACTGTATTTTCTTAAATATTGACGTTTTTAAAGATATAAGCTCGTCTCGGTGTTACACTCATAAAGAGGTTTCATTTGAGTACCCACATGCATTTTGATATATTTTTTATATATACATATATATATATATATAAATATATAAAGTATATAAAAAAATTGATGTGGGTACTCAAATAAAAGGTCTCGATGAGTATAATGTCGGGGTGAGCTTATATCTTTAAACATGTCAATAATTCACAAGATACAAGGTCATTTCTTAATTATGTATCTAGAGATAGAGTATTTTCGAATGCAGCCTAAATACTTATAATAAATTGACTATTGGTGAGAATGATATGAAACTTTGAAAAGGCACAAATTCAAGTCAAAACTTTTGCAATGACACTAAATTTCACTAAAAAAAAATCGATTTTATCATATAACTATCCTGGATGTAAAATTTTTCTTATTCTCTTAATAATGTAGATAATTTTTTAATTATAAATTTTGAGATTATTTTATTTTTTTAATTACAATAAAAGTATCAAACAACTAGGCCAGTGTCAGTAACTGGATTTTTTACCTTAACTAAAAGAGTAAAGAAAATTTTGTCTCCTTATTAAATTAAATTTAGTATCATTCGAAAGGTCTTGGCCTAAATTTGTGTCTTTTGAATGTCAAAAATTAATTTATATAATTAAAAAACTAGGAAAATTTTTGTAACGGGTATATCTTTATTGTAAATTAGTTCAGATATTTTTTAAGCATTAGTCAATTATGATTTAAATAATTGAGAGAGTAAAAAAAATTTTGTAACGAGCATATTATTATTTTTAAAGGAATTTTTTTATAGTTAAATTTTGTTTCATCAGAAAGGTCTTGACAATAATTAGTGCCTTTTCACGGTTTTATATATTTTTCAGAGATAAGGTAAAAAGACCCAATTATTGACACTGACCTAGTTATTGACACTTGCAATTTTATTTTAATTAAAAAAAAAATCAACTCTAATAAATTCATAAATATAATTTTTAAGATAATTGGTTTTTTGAGAACATTTTTTTTTTTTGGTAATTATTTACAAGTGTTTACAATAAAGATTTCAATAGCTTTTTTGCCTTGAAAAGTTGGAAAAAATTTTGGCTCATGTTTTTGGATAAAATTTCTATTTTATCTTTTTTTGATATATTTTTTTTTTTAAAGTACATAAAAAAACGAACAATTTAAAAAAAAAAGTTGAAAATATCACAAATTTCTAAAAAATTTATAAATTTTTTCGAAAATTTGTTAAAATTGTGATGATCAACTTTTTTTTTATCTATTTTTCAAAAAAAATTTATCAGTAAAATCAAATAGAAATTTCGTTCAAAAAAAAATGAAAATGGTTCACCCTACTTGTAAATATTTACCTTTTTTCTTTAATTAGAATAAAATTTCAAGTGTCAAACAACTAGGCCAGTGTCAATAACTGAGTCTTTTACCTTCGTCAATTTTTAATGTTAAGTTTTTGGAGAAATTTTAAATAGATTGTTGATTTTACAAATTTGTTCCGTCAATTTTGTCCATTAAATTATTTTTAATTACTCCTGTGCACACTATTATTTTTAAAATTTATTTAAAAAGTACCTTAACTATAGTGTGAGTAAAACTACACTGATAAAAAAATTAACTTGACAAAATCTTGCACCAAGAATACCACTTTGAAGAAAATGATTTTCTTGTGTCAAAAAAATAATTTCTTGAGACAAGAACTTTACTTAAATCAAGGATAATTTCTTGACTCAAGAAAATCATTTTCTTGAAAATGGTATTCTTGGTTCATGATTTTGGCTCTTGATTCAAGTTAATTTTTTTATCAGTATATAAAAAAATCATTGAGCCTGAAACTGACTGCAGGTTGCAAATTACCACCAAAATAATAAAACTGACCTGGAAAGTTTTCATAGGTCGGATCTTCTTCACCCTCAATAGGCTCATCGAGTATATTAACCACCCTCCTGCATGACTCAGATCTCAACCCACTGGCACTAAGAGCCAGTTCTTCAGGCGATAAGTCAATAAGACTGCCTTCCTGCGTAGTATTTAAAGTTTTAACTGGACTAGAACGCAAGTCGTTTTGAAACCTAGTATAATTAAACTGCTTCCTCGAGCGTGCTGCGCTGTGAGCAAACTTTTTTTCAATAACCCCAACGACATCTGGCGGCTCCATAGGATTCCTCAAGTAGACATCATCAATGAACTGAGGACTTCCCCAGCTCTTTCCAAAGGGAGCTCCATGGCCCGTGTGAATAAACGAGTTCTCCAGGGGCTTGCTGATGTCCTCAGGTTGTTTCCGACGCATCGGATCAACGAGACACCTGGGGAACGCAGCGACCTGGAAAGTCCTCTGGTTCTGGCCTTTCCACCAGTAGTTCTCCGGACGACCATCAATAATGACAATCTGGTCACCCTGCTCGATGCTCATCTTGTCAGTTTCTTCGAAGCGGTTGAGCGCCTTCATAACAGGCGGAACCATCCCGGTCAGTGACTCGCGAAGCGAAGCGAAACTCGGCCTCTCCGCAGGGTCCCGCGCCCAGCAGCGTAGCATCAGCTGGTAAATCGCCGGAGGACTGGCTTCTGGCTCGTACAGCCGTTCGCCTTCCCGGTCAATCTTCCTGAGGATCTCCGAGCCGTTCAGACCGACCCAGGGCTCTTCACCGAAGGTCATCATCTCCCAGAGAGTCACCCCGAACATCCAGACATCGGAAGCGTGGCTGAACTGTCTAGCTTTCAAGGATTCAGGCGCGCACCAGGGAAAGGGAACCTTCTTGTGCTCCGTCATGACGTAGCAGTCTTCCTGCTGGGGCAAGGCTCGCATCAGCCCGAAGTCGCCGATTTTTATTTTGTCAACTGAGCTCAACAGAACGTTGCGACACGCCAGGTCTCGGTGGAGAAATCGCTTAGCCTCCAGGTAAGCCATCCCTGTAGCAACTTGCAGCGCGTAGTCGCACATGGTCAGGATCAAAATATGCCCGCATTGCTTCCGCAAGTAGTCCAGGAGCGCTCCGAGAGGCGCGAGCTCGGTGACCATCATCATCGGCTGGGACAGAACTACTCCGTAGAGTCTGATTAAATTATGATGGTCCAGAGTGTGCATCGCCTGGACTTCAGACACAAAGTCTTCAATCACGCTTGGCTGGGTCAGCGCGTCTGCTTTTAAAACTTTGACAGCCACGGGGAGAGTTCTTCCTGTTGGAGATGTCCATTCTCCTCGACGGACCACGCCGAAGCTTCCGTCACCCAGTTTGACGGACAAGGTGACGTCTTTGTCTTGGATTAAGCAGGTCAGGAGTGATGTTTCTGCAGAAACTGCGGTAGAAGACCTCTTGCTGGTCTTACCGCTGCTTCCCGGACGGATTTTAGTGATCAAATTTTTCTTCTTCTGCGCAGCGCGTTTCTTCTTCACTACGTCCATCAGGCGCCGGATTCCCGGCTTGCCTAGCCCGATTTTCTCCAGGTCTTCGGACTGGACGTAGTCGAAGTGGTGCAACATGGTCACCTGGAGGTCGTCCCGGATTCGGGTGTAGAATTGTGAGAGCTGGACGTCTCGCAGCAATTCCAACAGCCACTCGGTTCCTTCGTCTTCGGCCATTTTGGATTTGGGGGTCTGGAATTTTAAAGAGTTTTTTTTTAATAAAAAATAGCAACCTTGCAGTTTTATATGTGACTGCTGTGGCTTGTGAAATATAAATAAATAAAATTTTGCTTTATTAAATAATGACTTTTGTTAAATTGCAATGTACTTTCTTAACTTTTGACGTTTTTAAAGATATAAGCTCATCCCGATGTTACAATCATCACGAGCTTTCATTTGAGTACCCACATGCATTTTGATATATTTTTCATACATACATATATATAATATATATAAATATATGAAAAATGATGTGGGTACTTAAATGAAAGGTCTTGATGAGTGTAATCTCGGGATGAGCTTATTTCTTTAAAAATGTCAATAGTTCACAAGATACAAGGTGATTTCTGAATTATGTATCTTACATATTGTTAAATTGCACTGTACTTTCTTAAATATTGACGTTTTTTTATAATATAAGCTCATCCCGATGTTACACTCATTAAGAGCTTTCATTTGAGTACTCACATGCATTTTTGATATATTTTTTTTATATACATATATATAATATATATAAATATATAGAAAAATGATGTGGGTACTTAAATGAAAGGTCTTGATGAGTGTAATCTCAGGATGAGCTTATTTCTTTAAAAATGTCAATAGATCACAAGTTACAAGGTTATTCCTTAATTGTGTATCTAGAGATATTTTCGAATGCAGCCTAAATAATCATCATAAATTGGCTATTGGTGAGAATTATATGAAACCATGAAAAAACACAAATCCATTTTATCATATAAATACACTGGCCCCAAAATTTAGCTTATTCTCTTAATAATATAGATAAATTAGTCAATAAAAAAATGGGTGGCTGAGTTTAAAAGTTTTAAATGACCAAGTTAGTAGGTTTAAATAGCTTAATGATAATTGCGTCTGAAGATTTTATTATATTGAATCACTTTAACACAGGAAATTAAATAATTCAATGTCATCTTATCTAGTACTTGTCATTTAAATGATAAATCATTACTTACCGGGGTATTTATTTGAAAAGCAATTGTCTACTCTTGTTTATTTATTTATTTATTAAAACAGCATTTTTACGTCATGAATTCCCATTAATATGCGACGAGTGTCTCAATAGCTGTGTCATGGACATTGTCCGATCACTTTTTTGCTGATCAATTGGTTAGCGATGATTTATCCTTGGTGATACTTCTCGTTAGTTATTATTTGTTGTAATAATAATAATTACCAGCATTACAATTATCGTATTCTTAGCTCGGAACTTAACCTTCAGGTTTTTTTATAAAAACTAGCGTAAATGCAAAGTGTCATACTTTCACCGAGTTAATTTTCTCATTCATTGTTATTTATATATATATATCCACACAAATATGTACATGGACTATTAATTAGAAAGCACAGCTGGTAAATATTTGAATCTTATTTCTGAAAGAAGAAAAATATTAATATTAATTATTATTGCAATTTAAAAAAGATTTTGTGTAAATAATTAAACTTACTAAATCACAATGCCGGACATGGAGATAAATTTGGCTTCTGTCACGGCGAGGCTTAAGAGATCTACATTCTAGATCTATGTTTACTCTCCAACGATTTCTTCCTTTTTAATTATTTTAATTTATTATCTACTGTTAGAATTTTTTTATTTAATTATTCAAATACTTTTTTTCACAACTATCTTAAAAATTTTTACTGTTATTTAAATATAGTGATTAATTATCTCTGTACCGTGCGACCAGTGAGATGAAACACAGCGCTGGACCCTGAATAAGGACCAGTGAATTTGATATATATTTTATACCGTATATTTTGTGGTATATCCAGGTATTGAATGTCACGCACATTTACGATCACTTGCAGTTTTCTGCAGCCACTCAAGATGCACTTGCCACTTGCTCAATGCTCACCCGCGTGAGGAACAGCTGCGCCCTCTCGGCTCTGATTTATATCTGGATATCTGGAACTAGAAAATATATATAAACATGTCTACAAAAAAAATTAAAAAAATTTATAAACACGTGACTGGAAAAAAATAATTAAAATTTATAAATAAAAGTTTTTTATTTCTTCTTAAATTTAAATTTCTTAAAGTTGGTAATTAATTATTAAATATTAGATAATTATTATTGAAAATTATGCGTAGTTATGATAGCAATTATCATTATAGATAAATTGCGAAATTTGATAAGAGTTTGATAAAAACATTAGAATTATATGCGAATTAAATTGTTGAGAAAATGGAATTTTATGATAAAAATTATGACAAGGTAAGAAATTATTTTTTTATTGATTTTATTAAAAGCGGAAAAATAGATAAAGAGGCTATAAAAATTAAATTAGCAGATTTAGAAAAATTTTTAGAATTTTTTTATAGAATAAAATTATTAAAAAAAAAAATTATGAATTATGAGATAACACTAAAGTTAGCCGACGTTTTTAATTTTTTTTAATTATTAAATTAGAACTAAAAAATATTTTTTAAAAATTGCACTTAGAGTTTTTCAAGTTTTTTATAAATGAAAAATTTTTTTTATTATTTTGCAATAATTTTTTATGACATTAAAGTTAGCTGTCACTTCACAATTTTTTAATTTTATTTAACAAAAAAATTTGTTCCAAAGAATTATTTTTAAAAAATTGCATTTTTAATTTTTTTAAATTTCTACATGTCAATTTTTTTTTATAATTTTTTTTTGCGATAATTTATTTGTTATAAAATTCTTAAAATTATTAAATATATGCTAGATTAATTTTCATTAATTTTTTTAATAAAAAAAAAATTATAAAAATTTATAAATGTCGGCTAACTTAATTTTCATAATTATGAGTATTAATTTAATGATGTTAAATTTAGCTGTCATTTTACAATTTTTAAAAATTTTCTTTAATAAATAAATTATGGCAAAAAAAAATATTGAAAAAATGGACTTGTAAAAATTGAATAAAATTAAAAATGTAATTTTTTAAAAATAGTTTTTTGGAACAAATTTTTTTATTAAAAAAAATTAAAAAATTGTCAAGTGACAGCTAAATTAAATGTCATATTAATTTATCAGATTTTCAATAATTTTTAGAATTATTTTAACAGATAAATTATAGCAAAAAAATGAGAAAAAAATTGACAAGTAGAAATTTAAAAAAATAAAAAATGCAATTTTTTAAAAATAATTTTTTTGACAAAATTTTTTTATTAAATAAATTTATAAAATTATCAAGTGAATGATAACTTTAATGTCATGAAAAAATTTGAAAAATTCCAAATGCAATTTTTAAAAAATATTTTTTTACTTATAGTTTTTATTAATTCAAAAAATCAAAAATCGTCAAATGTTTGCTAATTTTAATGACATTAAAGTTAGTACCTACTTAACCATTTTTTAGTTTTTTTTTAACAAATTGGTTTTTTTTTCGAATAATTATTTTTGAAAAATTGCATTTTTTATTTTTTAAAATTTCTACATGTCAATTTTTTTTCTACTTTTTTTTTGCCATAATTTATTTTCTAAAAAAATTCTTAAAATTATCAAATATCTGCTAAATTAATTTTCATCTAATTTTAGTATCATGGAGAGGCTCCAAAAAATACAATTTTTTTTTATAGTAGTGAATTTAAAATAATACTAAAGTTAGCCGACTTTTTTAATTTTTTGATTCTTTTTTATTTAATTAGAACTAAGAAATATTTTAAAAAAATTGCACTTGTAGTTTTTCAAGTTTTTTACGAATGAAATTTTTTTTTTTTAATTCTTTCATAATTATTTTTTAATGAAAAAAAATTCTAAAAATTTTAAGATGGCTAATTTAATTTTCATAATTTAAAAGACATCTAACAATTTTTTTTAGATTTTAATAATAGTCAAACTATAATTAAAAAAATTTATCAGAAAATTCCACATGTAGAAACTTTAAAAAAATTATAAGTGTGAATTTTTTTAAATATTTTTTTTATAATAATTAATTAGTTATAAAAATTCTTAGAATTTTCAGATGAAAATCATTATTTTAATAGTAAATTAAATAAATTTCGTGAAAATGAATTTCTTTAAAAAAAAATAATGAAATTAAAATTAAAATTTCTTTTAATTAATTTCTGACATCTGTTAATTTTTTAAACCAACAAAATTATTATGAAAAAATTTTATTGAAAGAATTTCACGTCTCAAGATTGAAAAAAAATTACAAGTGTAAATATTTTTTTTTATCATGAGCTTGTTAAAAAAAAATTATCAGATATCAGCTGATTTCAGTATCACAATAAAAAAACATACTTTTTTCTAGGAACATCCAAGGAATTTAATACCAGAGTTATGTAGACAGTTTTATCACCTTGGATGGGTGACTGGTACCGGAGGTGGAATTTCTATAAAACATGAGTAATTATTATTTATATTAATTTAAATTAAATTAATTTAAAAAAAAAAAAGAAGTTTCATGGACGTAAATTGGTTTAGAAATGAAATTTACATTGCACCATCAGGAGTCCAGAAAGAACGAATAGTGCCAGAAGATATGTTTGTCCAGACTGTAGACGGAGTTGACATTTCTTCGCCACCAGCTGAGAAGAAATTCAAGAAATCTCAGTGTACTCCGCTGTTCATGTGTGCTTACACGTCAAGGAATGCTGGAGCTGTTATCCACACGCACTCAAAATTTGCTGTGATGGCAACGTTGCTCTGGCCAGGTCGGGAATTTCGAGTCACTCATCTGGAAATGATTAAAGGTAATTAGTAATTAGTGAGAAAATTATAAAAAATAATTTTCTTAATTAGCTAAATTTAATTTTTAAAAATTAAATAGGGTAATCGGAAAAAATAGACCGGAAAAAATAGACTAATAAAAAATAGACCTGGAAAAAAATATTTAAGTTATAAAAAATTTATATTATTTCATTAAAATTATTATAAAATAAAAATTATAATAATAATAATTGTATCACACCCACAATTTTCCTAAAAAACAAAAACCCCCAGAATGATCGCTCCATTTTTTGTTACAAAAAAAAAAAATTTTTTTAAATATTCCTATTATAATTTTTATTTTATAATAATTTTAATGAAATAATATAAATTTTTTATAACTTAAATATTTTTTTCCAGGTCTATTTTTTATTAGTCTATTTTTTCCGGTCTATTTTTTCCGATTACCCTATTTAATTTTTAAAAATTAAATTTAGCTAATTAAGAAAATTATTTTTTATAATTTTCTCACTAATTACTAATTACCTTTAATCATTTCCAGATGAGTGACTCGAAATTCCCGACCTGGCAATTTTTTTTAACAAATAAATTATTGTAAATGTAAAAAAAAAATTCTACTCGTAAATATTTTAAACATTTATTGATGTAATTTTTTAAAAATATATTTATTTAAAAAAAAATTCTAAACAATTTTCGATGTAATTTTTAAAAAACAAATTGTAAAAAAATTTCTACGCATAGAAATTCTAAAAAATTTTTTATGTAATTGAAAAAAATTTTTTTTAACAAATAAATTATTGTAAAAAAAAATTTTCAGGTGTCTGCTGATTTCAGGATTATTATTAATTCTAAAACTAGAATTATTTATTAGACAGCTGATACTTGAGTTCATAATCTTCAGGTGTCAGCAACGGATCAATACCCGCTTGTTTCATTTGAACCGCAATATCAAATAGATAATCATAACATTCCGTCCTGTAATAAAAAAAGTCATTAAAAAAATGACAAATTAAAAAAATAAACTATTAAATTAATAATTCTAAACAATAGAATATTAAGATAAAAGTAATTATATAAATTACATTGTCTTAGCTTGCTGCCAATTGTCACCCCAGACATAGACACCGTGCCTACGTACTAAAACGGCGCAAGTTTCAGGGTACTCTTTTATGACTTCCGCCATACGATCTTTGAGATCTTCTTCAAATGGAGTGTTTTCAATTATTGGAACCACCAACTCCTCGTCGAATCTGTACGCTCTGTTCAATTTTTGGTTCCTTATACCTAATTAACAATTATAAAAAAAAAATAATAACATAAATAAATATCTATTAATTAATGAATCCCGGTAAAAATAGACCTGGAAATAATATTAAAGTTATAAAAAATTCATATTATTTCATTAAAATTATTATAAAATAAAAATTATAATAGGAATATTTAAAAAAATTTTTTTTTTTTGTAACAAAAAATGGAGCGATCATTCTGGGGGTTTTTGTTTTTTAGGAAAATTGTGGGTGTGATACAATTATTATTATTATAATTTTTATTTTATAATAATTTTAATGAAATAATATGAATTTTTTATAACTTTAATATTATTTCCAGGTCTATTTTTACCGGGATTCATTAATTAATAGATATTTATTTATGTTATTATTTTTTTTTTATAATTGTTAATTAGGTATAAGGAACCAAAAATTGAACAGAGCGTACAGATTCGACGAGGAGTTGGTGGTTCCAATAATTGAAAACACTCCATTTGAAGAAGATCTCAAAGATCGTATGGCGGAAGTCATAAAAGAGTACCCTGAAACTTGCGCCGTTTTAGTACGTAGGCACGGTGTCTATGTCTGGGGTGACAATTGGCAGCAAGCTAAGACAATGTAATTTATATAATTACTTTTATCTTAATATTCTATTGTTTAGAATTATTAATTTAATAGTTTATTTTTTTAATTTGTCATTTTTTTAATGACTTTTTTTATTACAGGACGGAATGTTATGATTATCTATTTGATATTGCGGTTCAAATGAAACAAGCGGGTATTGATCCGTTGCTGACACCTGAAGATTATGAACTCAAGTATCAGCTGTCTAATAAATAATTCTAGTTTTAGAATTAATAATAATCCTGAAATCAGCAGACACCTGAAAATTTTTTTTTACAATAATTTATTTGTTAAAAAAAATTTTTTTCAATTACATAAAAAATTTTTTAGAATTTCTATGCGTAGAAATTTTTTTACAATTTGTTTTTTAAAAATTACATCGAAAATTGTTTAGAATTTTTTTTTAAATAAATATATTTTTAAAAAATTACATCAATAAATGTTTAAAATATTTACGAGTAGAATTTTTTTTTTACATTTACAATAATTTATTTGTTAAAAAAAATTATCAGATGATTTTTAATTAGTCAATTAGTAGAAATATATATTTTTATAACTTTTTATTAAAATTTATATATTTATAGTTTTTAATACTAAAAAATTGTAAAAATATAAACTGTTTATCAAAAAAAGAAAAAAAAAATAAAACTGTTTTTAATGAAGCTGTTTTCTTTTTTTGTTAATAAAAAATTTATAAGAAATTTTTTAAAAATTTAATTACGAGTAAATGAAAATAAAATTAGCCGAAATCGGAAAATTTTAATAATTTTTTTTATTGAAAAAATTATCACAAAATAATTAAAAGAAAAAATTTCACGTAGAAAATTAAAAAAATTATCTGTGCAATTTTTTAAAAGTATTTTTTTACCTGTAAATTAATTTTCGAAAAAAATAAAAAATTGTTAAACGTCGGCTAATTTTAGTATCATTACAAGTAATTGGTGTACTTACTTAAAAAAAAAATTAATGAAAAATAATTTAGCAGATATTTGATAATTTTAAGAATTTTTGTAACAAATAATATCAAAAAAAAATTGACTTAGAAATTTAAAAAAATTAAAAATAATTTTCAAGCAACTGCTAACATAAATGTCATAAAATTTAATGACAATAAAGTTAGCCGACCTTTAAAAATTTTTAGAATTTTTTTTATTTAAAAAATCATTAACAAAAAATTTTTTTTTAAAATTTCATTTGTAAAAAATTTGAAAAACTGTAAGTGCAATTAAAAAAAAATTTTTTTAGTGAACTATCAATTTGATGATGAAAATTAAGTTAGCCGACATCTAAAAACTTTTAGAATTTTTTTTTATTGAAAAAATGATTACAAAAAAAATAAAAAAAAAAATTTCACTTGTCAAAAACTTTAAAAAATGTAAGTGCAATTTTTTAAAAATATTTTATTGTTCTAATTTAATTTAAAAAAATAAATCAAAAAATAAAAAATGTCGGCTAACTTTATTGTTATTAAAATTTATTAACTGTCAAATTTCCACCAAATTGAGTGTAATTAAATTCCTAGATTTAGAATGAATTTCTTCTAAAATCTAACTAAGAAAATAAATAAATTTAATAAGAAAAAATTCTTAATTATTAAAAAAAAAAAAACAATAAATAAATAAAAGACCATTAATTATTTAAACAGTCAGCTGTTTGACAGCGCATGCGCGCGCATTACCAAACTGTACATCGTCGACGCACTGTAGATGATATACACCTCTATATATATATTATAATATAAACTCTTATATGTTTATTACGAATAGGTTAAGTTTTTCCTCAAATATTTATTCCTAGCAATAACATCTCCAGCAACAAATCAATAACTAAATTTACTATCGGTGAGTTATTTAAACGCTATTTACTCCATTGTTTGTTATTATTCCAAAAAAACTTATCGCATTTAAGTAAAGCGCACTCGACACATTGCAGAGTTGACTTGTCTCATTGTCTCAAAACCCCGGCTTCCTGCTAAAAATTAACAATTACACGTTTTATAATTTAAACAAATATCGCTTCAATGTTTTCAATGTAATTAGTCGCTTTTGTTTTTTATAGTTTTGTTATTTAAGTCCTTTTATTTACAAACTTTTTATTTCAATCGATAAATATTTTTTTACTCCATTTTTTGAGATGCAATCATTTTTTTTGGAGTTGTAATAAAAATTTTTTAATTATAAATTTTTATTTAAAAGTTCAATTTTTTAAATAAATAATTTGGAGTTTTGCATGAAAATAAAAAATTTTTTTTTTTATTTTAATCAAAAATTTTTTTATAAATAATTATTTATTATTGTAAATAATAATAAAAATATTATTTGCACGTGTCAAAAATTTTCAATAAAATGAAATTTTTATGAAAATTAAAGTAGCAGATATTTAATAATTTTTTTAAGAAATAAATTAGTGAAAAAAAAAAAAATTAAAAAATTTGGCATGTAAAAATTGTAAAAAATAAAAAATGCAATTTTTTAAAAATAAGTTTTTGGAAGAAATTTTTTTGTTAAGGGGGAAAATACGTGTACAGGCTAATAAAGTTAGCCGATTTTTTTATTTTGCTTAATTTATTAAATTAAAACTAAAAAGATATTTTTAAAAAATTGCACTTATAGTTTTTGAAGTTTTTAACAAGTGAATTTTTTTTTCTTTATTTTTTTGTAATCATTTTTTCGATAAAAAAAAATTCTAAAAATTTTAAAAAGTCGGCTAACTTTATTTTCATAAAATTAAATTTTTTTTTATGAAAATAAAGTTAGCCGACATCTAAAAAATTTTATGATTTTTTATATTAAAGAATTATTACAAAAAAAATAAAAAAAAAATTTGCATTTGTTAAAAACTTCATAAACTATAAGTGCAATTTTTTAAAAATGCACTTATAGTTTTTCAAGTTTTTTACATGTGTAATTTTTTTTTTAATTGTTAACTTTATTTTCATTAAATTTAGCTGTCACTTTACAATTTTAAAAAATTTTCTTTAATAAAAAAACTAAGACAAAAAAAAATTATTGAAAAAATGGACTTGTAGAAATTGAATAAAATTAAAAATGCAATTTTTTAAAAATAGTTTTTTGGAACAAATTTTTTTGTTAAAAAAAAAATTAAAAAACTGTCAAGTGACAGCTAATTTTAATTTCATATTAATTTATCAGATTTTAAATAATTTTTAGAATTATTTTAACAGATAAATTATGGCAAAAAATTGACAAGTAGAAATTTAAAAAAATAAAAAATGCAATTTTTTAAAAATAATTTTTTGGACTAAATTATTTTGTTAAATAAATTAAAAAAAATTATTAAGTGCAATTTAAAAAAAATATTTTTTTACTTATAATTTTTAATGATTAAAAAAATCAAAAATCGTCAAATGTTTGCTAATTTTAATGACATTAAAGTTAGCACCTACTTATAACCATTTTTTATTTTTTTTTTTTTTCAAAAAATTATTTTTAAAAAAAATTTTTATTTTTTAAAATTTCTACATGTCAATTATTTTTCTACTTTTTTTTGCCATAATTTATTTGCTAAAAAAATTTTAAAAATTATCAAATATCTGCTAAATTAATTTTCATCTAATTTTAGTATCATGAAGAGGCTCCAAAAAATACAATTTTTTTTTATAGTACTGAATTTAAAATAATACTAAAGTTAGCTGACTTTTTTAATTTTTTGATTCTTTTTTATTTAATTAGAACTATGAAATATTTTTAAAAACTTTAATATGGTAAAATTTTCAGATATCAAGATGTCGGAATCAGACTTACTAACCGCTGACCAATTGGATGGATTTGACGAGTTCGAGAACGGAGACTCCCGCCAGGACGAGGATTCAATTTTGCAAACGGAGGAGAACACCAAGGAAGAAGTAACCGAGTCAAGTATCGATCCAGAGTTGGAAGCTATAAAGGCGCGAGTCCGCGAAATGGAGGAAGAAGCCGAGAAGCTGAAGCAGTTGCAGTCCGAGGTAGACAAACAGATGAACATGGGGGCCCTGCCGGGCATGATATCCCTGAACACCTCGATGGAAGAAAAAATAGAGATAGACAATCGGTCCATCTACGTGGGGAACGTCGACTACGGAGCCACCGCGGAAGAGCTCGAGCAACACTTCCACGGGTGCGGTAGCGTCAACAAAGTAACCATCCAGTGCAACAAGTACGACGGACACCCCAAGGGATTCGCGTACATCGAGTTTGCAGAGCGCGACGCCGTCGAGACAGCGATGGCTCTTGATGAGTCTCTTTTCAGAGGTCGCCAGATAAAGGTCATGCCCAAGAGAACGAACAAACCGGGGATCTCGACGACCAACAGAGGACCCCGAGGAGCCAGAGGATATCGCGGAGCTGCTCGAGGACTCAGTCGCGGCAGCGCTTACTTCAGGTCGAGACCCATGCGGCGACCAACCAGCTATAGACGCGGATACTACATGCCCTACTAATTGTCCGGTATTAATCTCGAGGATAAGTTATGGGGGGAGCTTATAAGGATGATATGAATTTCATGTGACCAATATTTTTAATTATTAATTAATTAATTCATTGATTACTTGCAGCAGTTTGACTTTTAATATATCAGTTTTTTAATTCGCAATAATTATTGCGAATAAATATTAAACACAGTTTGTATAAATTTTTAAATTACTTGTGTGGCTCAATAATATTTAATGATTGTCATTACTATTTTTTTTTGTAAAAATAAAAATATGATAAATATTTAGCGGCATTTATTGTTATTGATTCAATTTAAGTTAACTTATCTTTAAGATTATTCGACTGGGAGGACTGGATGTATTTTTTTATTCTTAAAAAATTATTTTGAGTGACTGAATCAAGCATAATAAATTTTCGACTGGCGATTTTATTTACGATGGAATGATTGTAAAAAAAAAAATACATTTAAAGACCCAGAGTTTATTCTTTGGAAAATTTGGTTACATGAAAAAGTCAGGAATTTTTTTTTTTAATTATCATTTAATAAATAATAAGTCATATGCCTATGGTTATGATTAAATTGTACTAGAATTGTAGAATCAGTAATTTACTAATTTTAGGTAAAGAACTATTGAATTATTTAACTGGATAATTTTGGAAAATCTATGAGCTATTAAGAAATTTCATTTTTTTTTGTATTAAAAATAAATTTCTAAATAAAAAAAAAATTGAGTTTGTTTATTTATAATTTTTATTAATAAATTACTTTTTTTTTATAATTAATTTTACTAAAATTAAGAGATCTGAAATTATTTATTTTTTAATTATTATAAAAAAAAAAAAAAAAAAACTTTTTATAAAGTCATAAAAATTTTTTCTGATTTCAATATTACGGCTAAAATTAAATAATCTTTTACATTAATTATATTTGATAATAATTTTTTTAATTTAAACACATTAATTTGATTTAATGTAAGGTAAAAGACCCAGTTATTGACACTTGCAATTTTATTCTAATTAAAAAAATTAAATGTTCTCAAAAAACCAATTTTCGTAAAGTTTATAATTAAAAAATTACATTTATTAATTTATTAGAGTTGATTGGTTTTTTTTTTTTTTTTTTAATTAAAATAAAATTACAAGTGTCAATAACTAGGCCAGCGTCAGTAACTGGGTCTTTTACCTTAATTATTAGAAAACTTGCAGTCACTATATGACTGCCTTGACGTGAACTATAAAAAATTAAAATTTTACTCTATTAAATAATGAATTTTGTTAAATTGCACTGGACTTTCTTAAATATTGATGTTTTTAAAGCTATAAGCTCATCCCGATGTCACACTCATCAAGAGCTTTCATTTGAGTACCCACATGCATTTTTATATATTTTTCATATATTCATATATATAAATATATAAATATATAAAATATATGAAAAATTGATGTGGGTACTCAAATGAAAGGTCTCGATGAGTGTAATCTCAGGATTAGCTTATATCTTAAAAAATTTCAATATTTCACAAGATACAAGGTCATTTTTTAATTATGTATCTTATATATTGTTAAATTGTACTGTACTTTCTTAAATATTGAAGTTTTTAAAGGTGTAAGCTCATACTGATGTTATAGTCATCAAGAGCTTTCATTTGAGTACCCACATGCATTTTGATATATTTTTCATATATTTATATATATATATATATAAATACATAAAATATATGAAAAATTGATGTGGGTACTCAAATGAAAGGTCTCGATGAGTGTAATCTCAGGATTAGCTTATATCTTAAAAAATTTCAATATTTCACAAGATACAAGGTCATTTTTTAATTATGTATCTTATATATTGTTAAATTGCACTGGACTTTCTTAAATATTGAAGCTTTTAAAGGTATAAGCTCATCCTGATGTTACACTCATCAAGAGCTTTCATTTGAGTACCCACATGCATTTTTATATATTTTTCATATATTCATATATATAAATATTTAAAATATATGAAAAATTTATGTGGGTACTCAAATGAAAGGTCTCGATGAGTGTAACGTCGTGGTGAGCTTATATCTTTAAAAATGTCAATATTTCACAAGATACAAGGTCATTTCTTATTTATGTATCTAGAGATAGAGTATTTTCGAATGCAGCCTAAATACTTATCATAATAAATTGACTATCGGTAAGAATGAAATAAAACCTTGAAAAGATACAAATTCAAGTCTAGACCTTTGCAATGACACTAAATTTCACTAAAAAAAAAAAAAAATTTTATTCTCTTAATAATATAGATTAAATAAACCTACCAAGATTCAAATTACAGAATTAAATATTAGCATCAAAAAATTACGTTCACAAAAAACGTACTAAAAAAAATCCCTAACTCTTATAAATAATTACAGCCTTCAATGGAGATCAATAAAATAAAACACATGGCACAAAAATTGTAAATGTCAAAATTATTGACTCCCGCAGGCAGAAGTTCTAAAATTTAAAATTATCTTCTAAATAATTTTATTTCTATCGGATCACAATAAATATTCTACAGCAGAGTCCATCTGTAGAGATGATCCATTCCTTAGGCCCGATTGTTTTGAAGTTGGTGAAAAAGTTATTCGTTTTGCAAGCCATCTCACAAAAATCTGGATTTTTAATCGCGTCAAATCCTGGAGGAAAATTTTTCTTGTACTTGAAATTGCTCCGGAAGTTCATCTTCGTATTCAAGAGGTTGTTGTAATAGCCAACAGCAAACTCTCCAATTGAGTAAGAGCCTCCGTTATCGTCTAGCATGGACAATACAATCAAGTTGTCTTTATTCTCCATCGGAGAGGTAGTGCACATTACGCCCCCAATTATCTCAGGATGATCAATCCACCATTGAACGAGACTGGTGATGTTAATCACGATCCATCCTTGGTGATCAGCCTCGACGATTACGGAGTTAACGTAATTACGAGTCCCATTTTTGTACCTATAAATAGTGAGGTTCGTTGGCAAGCTTTCGTATTTACCTAAAAAGTACCAAGGCCTGTGGAAAAGTCTCAGCTCTGCGGAAGTTAAAGTTTCTAAGTAATTAGAGTATGAGTTATTTGTGATAACGTTGGACCACATTCGGAGTACGCTGTGTTGGATGGACTTATGCTGGGGAGTGTCAAAATTTATGATCAGATTACTTTTTTTTGGCTTACAAAAATCGTAGTTAACAAGATCATTATTTGCATAATTGGCGGGCAGATCGACCTCATTGTCTTCTATACTTGATTTTACAGGAGCGTTTGACATAGCCAGGAATATCAAGATAAGTAGGATCTTCATTTTCATCAAGAGGATTCGGTCTTTCGGCTTGGAAACAATCCGCTTACTGGTATCTAATGTAAAAGAAAATAATTATTATATTTTTTTTTTAATTTCAATAATATTTGATGTTCAAAATAAAATTGGGTTGCAGTCAACTAGTCAGACTGACAACATTCCGAATTAATAAATTAATAGAACTTACAAAGTAAATATAAATTATAATTTATAATAGGGTAAATGCGCCAGTTGTTGACCGGTCACCAATTAGTTGACCGATGTATAAAAAAGTTGAATAATTAGTATTTTACAAGGGTTCTTTTTTTCTTAAAGTATTAAAATAAAAAAATATGACATTTAATCATCATAATAAAAAATTACGCAATTAATTGCGCAGTGATTATAGCTTTAAAAAAATATTCTGAGTTTGTTTACAACGCAACCAGCCATAAAGCGGTCAAAAATAACTACCGTACAATTGGAGAGTCAGTGCATTTCATCATTAATTTAGTGATATTTATCGGCATAATATAAAATATTTTAGTTTTATTATGTTAATTAAAGATCAGATTCCAACTTTTTTGAAAAAATAAAGTTAAATTATAAGTTTTAATATTATTTTAAGACCGGTCAACTATTGGATCCGTCAGAAGTCCTTTACCCAGTAAAAAAAATTCATTCGGTCATTTATTAGACCCTCTGATTTTATCACAATCCAATTAATGACCGTATATTTATAATACTAACTTCTTCACCTCAAAATTAAATCTGTCAAGTGTTTAAAGTACTTTAGTCATTAAATATTTTGTAAATATAAAAATAATCATTATAAAATGTATATTTATAATTAAAATAATACTTAAAATCTTTTTTGATTATTAAATTTTATTTTGTTGTAATTTTTTTAGTGAACGGTTATATCAAAGAACGAATTATTAGAAGAAAAAATTGCTAAGCAATTAAAAAAATAAAAAAAAGTTACAAGCTAGTAAAAAAGCTTTAATTGAAAGAAAGAAGGAGAAGAATAAAAAAATTTCAAGTCAATCAGAAGAATTATCGTCATCAAAATGAATTTGTGATTATTTGTGACCTAAAGAAATGTGACTTTATGTTAATTATTGTTATTATTTATATTATTTTATAAAAAAGTACGATTTAAAATTATATTGTATGTTTAGTTTTGTTAAAGATGTCGTTAATACTTTAAAAGTACTGCATATATTTAATTACATACATGTAGCTTACAAAATTACTTATAATTATTTCAGCGGTCAATTAATTGAAGAAAGGTCGGTCATTTATTGCGTTGCTTCGGTCAATAATTGGTGATTTTAGTATTTAAAGATTCAAATAACAAAATTAATATAATTTTGTCAATTTTTATTATAAATAGTTATTAATTATTATTAAATAAGTATTTAACTTTAATAAAATCCATTACAAATTGTTGTTAGTAGGTTAATAGATTTTTTATAGCTTAGCACAGAAAAAGAAAACCTTAATCGGTCAATAATTGGTACATTTACCCTAATAGACTTTTAATAATAAATTAGAACTAAATTAAAATGAATTTATTTATCTTTAAAAAGATATATCTGGAATGTTATAAATTTAGAATAATCATCCTTTTTGCTTCGATTTTTAATGTGATTTTAAATTTATAAATTTTTTCAGAGCATTCCATCATTATCTAAGATTAAAGGATATTCTTGAGAGGAGCCAAGGGGTTTTCGGTCTTGGCATAACCACCCAGCAGATCCAAGATCTACAAAACTCGTTTGTTGGTGGAGACTCAGACAGCAGCAGCAGCAGCAGCAGCAGCAGTAGCAGCAGCAGCAGCAGCAGCAGCAGTAGCAGCAGCAGCAGCAGCAGCAGCAGTAGCAGCAGCAGCAGCAGCAGCAGCAGTAGCAGCAGCAGCAGCAGCAGCAGCAGTAGCAGCAGCAGCAGCAGCAGCAGCAGTAGCAGCAGCAGCAGCAGCAGCAGCAGTAGCAGCAGCAGCAGCAGCAGCAGCAGTAGCAGCAGCAGCAGCAGCAGCAGCAGTAGCAGCAGCAGCAGCAGCAGCAGCAGTAGCAGCAGCAGCAGCAGCAGCAGCAGTAGCAGCAGCAGCAGCAGCAGCAGCAGTAGCAGCAGCAGCAGCAGCAGCAGCAGTAGCAGCAGCAGCAGCAGCAGCAGCAGTAGCAGCAGCAGCAGCAGCAGCAGCAGTAGCAGCAGCAGCAGCAGCAGCAGCAGTAGCAGCAGCAGCAGCAGCAGCAGCAGTAGCAGCAGCAGCAGCAGCAGCAGCAGCAGCAGCAGCAGCAGCAGCAGCAGCAGCAGCAGCAGCAGCAGCAGCAGCAGCAGCAGCAGCAGCAGCAGCAGCAG